ATGGTCTAGGTTGGAAGAGACCCTTGGGATCATCGAGTCCAACCATCTACCCTACTCTACAAAGTCCTCCCCTACACCATGTCCCTTAGCACTGCATCTAAACGGCCCTTAAACACAGCCAGGGATGGGGACTCCCCCCCCTCCCTGGGCAGCCTGTTCCAATGCCCGATACCTCTTTCGGTGAAAAATTCTTTCCTAATGCTCAACCTAAACCTCCCCTGTTGGAGCTTGAAGCCGTTCCCTCTCGTTCTGTCACTAATTACCCGTGAGAAGAGACCAGCACCAACCTCTCTACAGTGTCCTTTCATGAAGTTGTACAGAGTGATGAGGTCTCCCCTCAGCCTCCTCTTCCTCATACTGAACAGTCCCAACCCCCTCAGCCGCTCCTCATACGATTTGTTTTCCAGCCCCCCACCTGTGCAGGGGAAGGGGGTCTTCTCCTGTCGCTGATAACTCCCTCTCTTCCCTCCCCAACCCCCCAGGGACGACAAAAAAGACGGCCTCAAATTCTACACCGACCCCTCCTACTTCTTCAACTTATGGAAGGAGAAAATGTTGCAGGCGACAGAAGATAAGAGAAAGGAGAAGCGCAGGCAGAAGGTAACGGGCAGGGGGGGGTCACTGGGTGCTCCCTGCTGTTGCAGTGGGTGCATCTTACGGGTCTGGGTGATGCTCCCGTGGTACCATTTGTGGGCTGGAGGAGCCAGGTTGGAGACGAAGCTGTGGCACGTGTGTGTCCCCAGGAGCAGCGGCTGGTGGAGGACTCCACCCGAGAGGTGAAGAAAGTGAGGAAAGCCCGCAACCGGCGCCTGGAGTGGAACATGATGGCGTATGATAAAGAGTTCCGACCCGATAACAGGTTCTCACCATCCCCCTATCACATGGCGTCATCGGAAGGATCACTGTCCCCAGATAATAGGCAGGTTTTACCTACTGCACGTTAGCTCACTGGCTCTCCTTTGCTTTTCTCTTCTTCTGCGTCTCTGGGGGGGACAAGCTGCCCGCAGCAGGGTCGGGGTGAGAAGCTGTAAACCCATGGTAGCTTCATGGAGAGTTGGTGCCTTCATGGCCACGGCCTGAACCTCAGGAACAGCCTTAGTGTTGGGATAAAGTCAGAGCACTTTCCGTTTAGCAGCTTCAGGGAAGAGAAGCTTCAGCTCTGTTGGTGTCTTCCTCCCCTCTGCTATCTCTGCTTTCTTGTACATCTGTATTTTTGTGGCCATTTTCTGTTTTGTTGTCTTCTCAACCCCAAAATACCCCCAAACCCGCATCCCCCAAACCCTTCCTCCCAGCTGACCCCGCTCCCAGGAGTACGACTGTTGGGTTCTCCTGTGCTGTAGATCTTACGCGTCGGACGCGGCCGACCACTCCTACCCGGCCAGCCCCAACCATCCCGCACAGCTCCTGGCCCCGGCGTCCCACCTGGCCCCAACGGAGCACAAGGAGGGGGTGATGGCCACTGCAACCCCCCAGGAGCACGTCTACCGCCCAGTGCCGGCGGCGGGCAGCCGGCAGAACAGCCTCAACCGCCTCCAGCAGCCCCACGCGCCGCAGCCCCCCGAGGCTATCCTCAACGGGCCAAGACCTCACTTAATCAAGGATTATGGGTAGGGCTTCAGCCTGCATCTTCTCACCTGGCAGAGGGATGCCCAGGAGAAGCGGGGGCGGGGTTGTGAGGGGCTGACCCCCCCATTTCTGGGTGGATGTAGTGGGGAGAGCCCTCCTCTGCACCCACTGTGGTGTGAAACTGCTGGTGAGAGCAGAGGCCAAATCAGTCAGGAGCACTGTTGGGGTAACCTCATCCCAGATAAGGAGACAAGGTGGATGGAGGGCACCGTTTCTCCCGGGGGTGTTGGCTACCTTCCCACCATGGGATGTCCCATAGCCCATCCCACAGGCAGAGTCCCCCACCTATATAGGGACAGAACTTATATGGGGTCCAGAGCAAACCAAGCCGCAGCAGAGCCAGTTGGGTGCCCAAGATGAGTGGTGGTTGCCCAGGACGGGTAGTGGGTGCTCAGGATGGGTGATGGGTGCCCGGGATGGGTAGTGGGTGCTCAGGATGGGTGATGGGTGCCTGGGATGGGTAGTGGGTGCTCAGGATGGGTGATGGGTGCCTGGGATGGGTAGTGGGTGCCTGGGATGGGTGATGGGTGCCCGGGATGGGTAGTGGGTGCTCAGGATGGGTGATGGGTGCCCAGGATGGGTGATGGGTGCCCGGGACGGGTAGTGGGTGCTCAGGATGAGTGATGGGTGCCCGGGATGGGTAGTGGGTGCTCAGGATGGGTGATGGGTGCCCGGGATGGGTGATGGGTGCTCAGGATGGGTGATGTTTGCCCAGGATGGGTAGTGGGTGCCCAGGATGGGTGATGGGTGCCCGGGATGGATGGTGGAAGCCATCATTCGTCATGCCACTGACATGGCCTTGCCCTCCCGTTGCAGCCCGCAGCCGGTGCCGATGGCAGAGTACTTCGTGCCGCCCGCCCCACCGCCCCCCCCG